TATTTTTTTTCAGATTACTTTCCATTAGAGGTTATTATAAAAAATTGAATATAGCTCCCTGTGCTATACAGTAAATCTCGGTTGCTTATCTATTTTATGTATAGTAGTTTGTAACTGTTAATCCTATACTCCCAATTTATCCTTCCCCACTTCCATTTCCCCTGTGGTAAACATGTCGTCTATGTCTGTGACTCTGGGCTTGAAAGTATATTTAAAAGGGATTGAAGATGAAAAAATTCAGGATAATTTTTGATTTTGGGTAAATCTAACAAATAGCGTTCTAAAAGTTAAAAATCACCTGAAAATGAAACAGACTGCCTTTGGAGGTAATGTTCAAGAAAGACCACGCCAGGCCCCAGGGTGGGGGGGGTGTGTGTGTGAGATATATTTAGAAGAGGTTGAATAACAGCAGTTGTTTTCAACCTTTTTTCCCTCCCACTCTTCATGAGAAGCTAATTTCATGCCACCATCATTGTTAAGTAGGGAAAATAAACACAAAGTTTCATTTTGAGTCCAAAATAAGCCCCAGTTAACCTACACAGGAAATGATACATTCCTTGTGGCCATAAACTCATCCATTTTGGAAACAATGCCTGGCACATAATAGACACTTAGTATTTGAAGAGCGAACAAATGCTTGCTTTAATCAATCAGGGCTCTGGACTGACTAAGTTTAGCTCCATAATCCTGCATTAAAACTATAGACTTTACATTGTTCCAAACAGAGAGTTCTGACCTGGAGGAATTTATACTCTTACTGACAGAACATGAGGAAAAGCTTTTACTATATAATCAACTCTCTTAATACTCAACAAAATTTCTTGGAGGGCTCAAAACTCGTCTGCATAGACATAAAGCAGAGGACTGATTTTACCTTATAGAACTATGACTGACTTAAAGAATTTACATGTTACGGGTGGTTCTTTGTACGCAAATACATAGCATGGGCTCCTGCACGGGAAGGTGTTAAATTTATTTCTAGTTTTACTTCCAGTTATTTACTGAAGCACTATTATATGTGTTGTATTTTGTTAGGATATATGAGGATTATATAAGACAAGCAGTTGCCCTTAAAGCATATGTAAAAATAACTATGGATATTAACCAAAATAAAGAATATAAACTCCAAGAGAATGGGGATTTTTGCCTTATAATTTTTTTTTTAATTTTCAGGGCCTAGAAGAGTATCTAGCACATAGTAAGCTCTCAATAAATATCTGTTGAACGTATTATTGGAAGATGAGTGGTGCTCATCCAACATTCTATCTGTTTCCCCACATTTCTTTATCATCTTGAGATTAGGTGGGGTGATGGGACTGGTTCTGGATGGGCTGTGGTTGGCAATACCATGTCTCATTTTAAACCAAACATCAAAAAGCTTGTGCAGTCCTCCAGCTCTCTACTCTTGCAGTGGTGAGCAAGGAGGCCGCACGTTCCAGGTGGGTACGGCTACAAAACATCATTATTCTAAGTCCCTAAATGGCTGGCGAGAGCAGAATGCCCCCTTCACCACCAACCAGGAGTAAATAAGAGGCATACACTGGAAAAAAAAATTTCAAGTCACTGGAATTCCAGAATGATCTGTACCATACCATAGTCTTTCCTGATTTATACAAATACAAAGTGCTATGAAGTCAGCACAGAGATTATAGAACGGGAAGTTTTCAGTTGGCCTGATCAGGAAAGGCTTCATAATGATGACAATCTAGCTAAGCCTGCAATATTTCCAAGATTAGTGAGCTACA